AGAGGAGAGGAGAGGAGAGGAGAGGAGAGGAGAGGAGAAAGAAGATTGGAATAGAAAAAGTTTAAAATGTTTGTTCTCCATTCCTGCTGGGATTACTGTTTTCCCTAAGTAAACACTTTCTTGAATTGTTGCCAGCCTTTGGTTAATCAGCCTTAACTATTTTACTGATTTCATAGAGGAGCATATTTTCATAGGATATTGGGGTTTTTATTTTGGTATTTTGTTTTGATATTGAGAATTAAATCCAGGCCCTTGGGTGTGTTAAGCACATACTCTACACTGAGCTATAACCCCAAAAAATTTTCATAGGTTTTTATTCTGCCATTTATAAAGTTCTCCCATCAATATGTTCTTAATATCTTTTTCTAATTAATTTTATTGAGAGAAATAGCAAGGAGACAGTTTCAAAACAGGTTAGTAGGACAGTTACAATAATTAATACATTACATATTGTTGTCTTTGTAGTAGTTATTCATAGTACAAGATGCAGACATGATATCTTGTCTAAACACTATTAGTACAAATCTTCTCACTGAACTAAGAGAAAGTAGCTGTGTATAAAAAAAAAAAAAAAAGCCATATCCTTAAAACCAAGCACTCAGCAGCCATGCCTCAGGGAATGAAGTCTGTGGATTCAGCCTGACACCAGTTCTGCTGGCTATCAGTCTGTCCTATGTTTTTTACTTTGAGCGCTATAAATATTGAGCAGATATAGAGCACTCTGTTTTCTCCCTAGTTTGGATTTGGTCTCCAAGAATAGCCAGGACTCATTCTATGTAACCCCTAAGAGAAACAACTCACAAAGGAGACCAAAATCTAATGCATTGGTACTGTCCTAGTTGCTTTTGTCATTACTGGAACAAAATACGTGGCACCCACAAATTAAAGGAGGAAAGATTTAGTTCATAATTTGTAGAGGTCTCAGACAATATCAGCTTGGTTCAAGACAGGGTGTCATGGATGAGAGACATACAGAGGAGAAACCATTTATAGCATGGTAGGTGAAAGATAACAAGCAGCAGAAGCAGACCTGCCTTTCACTTTTATCCTATCCAGGCTACATGTTTTTTGGGTGGTGCCACCCAGAACTATGCTAATTCAACTCAATGGACTAATTTAGTGCTACACACCCTTAATCCCAGTATCACATGTCCTAGATCCAGCTATCTCCAAAATGCCCCACCTAGGAGTGCTTGAAGTTTTGGGTGGGAGGGACATCTGGATACAAGCCATAACAGGTACCATTCTCTCATGGTCTAGATGCCAGGAAGGGCCTGTTGAGGAAATGTGTGCTGTGCTGATGGTGATAGTGAATGTGTCACATCAGTTTTTCTCTGTGGCTAGGAATTCCTTTTGAAGATTTTCTGTGTATTCCGGAACCTGATGAAGATGAGTGTCTTCCCTCGGGACTGGATGGTGATGAGACTGCTCACAAGCAAGTAAGAAAGGAAGAGCCCTGCACTGGCATCCATAGAGCTCTTCTCAGACAAAGGAAAGTGTATTTATGTGAGAGATAGCAAGTACAGTGTGAAAGACAAGACCATAGGGAAAAAAGAAAAATTAGAAAAATGAAAACAAATATATTTTAGGAGAAACAGCCAGCAAGGCTTAGCCACTGACCACAAGGACAAGAAAAAGAAATTGAAAACATTGAATCTAAATGTCTGCTAGATTTTAGCATTTTAAGAACAGAAAAGGAAAGTATTGTAAGAACACTTCCCAGGGCTGGTGAGATGGCTCAGTGGTCTAAAGCACCTACTTAGAACAAGCTTAGCAAAAGCACAGGGACCGCAGTTCAATCCCCAGCACCACATGCCAGCCAGCCCCGCCCCCTGGTGGACTGAGCTGGCCACACACACACAAAATAAATAAATAAATTAAAAAAAAAAAAAAAAGAACACTTCCCAAAGAGATGTTTGTCCTTGAGGAAGGCCTAACCAGTGGCCCATTGGCCTCTGCTGCCCTACAGGTTTAGCAGTGCCTAAAGCCTCCACTTAGTTTGAGTTGTGTTTTCTGCCAAACAATGTTTGCCTCCTTTGTCAGTGCTAATTACTTGCTTGAGTCACAGCTCACTGATACACAGTTCACAGGAGGCTATCCCAAGCTTATCTGCCCCATTTATATTTCTAACCTTTGCTTCCTCTTAGCAAACCAGAAGAGTGGTAACATGTAATAATGGGCTGGCTCATTAGAGATTTCTCTACTGAGGAGAAGGCTGCTTGGCCTCCAGTGCCTATCCCATTGCCTCTTTCCTCTGATCTGACTTGTATGTTGGCAATATGTATAATATAGTAAAATTATTTGTTAGGTATAGTACCAAGGTACCATCATTATCTTTCTACTTTGTGCTTTTTGTTGGATTCACACACACACACACACACACACACACACACACACACACTGAAAATCTTTTTTCCAGAGTAGGGTAGTTTAAAATAATTTTGCATATTTTCTCAAGCAGTAGATTTTCCACTTTAATCCCTCATGTTTCTCTCTCAGCACCTGTTTCTCTTTTCTGTGCTCTCAATTCAGAGCCCTTCAGGATTACCAGCCTTTCCTGCAGAAGCATCTTTTTTAATGTTTTTTCTTCTCAAATTTATCACTCCCTTTGTTGGTGGTCTGTTGTTTCTAATGCACTGTTTTGACTTAGCCTTCTTTTGTACCAAAGCCCGGGTGGCCACTGTAGACTAAAATCTTTAGCCAAATAGCCAGGACCCACTATAATCAAACCCTCACCTATCTGTCCCACTTAGATTGATTTCCCCTTCAGCCCATACTTGGAAGTTCCAGAATGGTTACTTCCCATTGCCCTGTAACATGCTCAGATTAAAATTAAGAGTGATATTCTAGACCAAGGGCTGAAATCAGATAGAAATATTAATATGTGAGAAGAAATGAAAATTCAATAACTATGAACCACCATTGTCAAGTAAAATAATAAAATTATGCTCTAAGCCAATCCTAAAAGTGATGATTTTATGTAAATAGATAGATAGATAGATAGATAGATAGATAGATAGATAGATAGATTACTGAAAGTACCAGAAATGCTAGAAATTATTCCTCAAGCTAGGAAAAAACTTAAAGAACCATAAGGCCCAGAGAGAAAAAATACTAAGGCCCCACTGATATCCTGTGCTATATAGTAATCTGGGGTATTTCTCCATCACTGGTTTGATTTCTGTGTATTTTATGCTGTCTTCTCTTTATTATCACACATTACATGAGAGCAAGTTATACTGTAAAAGTTTTCCCACAGGCCATAACCAACTGATGCAAAGCTATCAAATGTCATTACTACTCTTTTAATTGTTGTTGCTTTGTTTGTAGTATTATAGTTACTACTGTCCAATACCTGTCCTCTGCACTGCACAAGAATTTCACAGAAACTGACTTTGACTTTAAGGTAGGAGCTCCTGAAATCCATCACTGTCTTTGAAACAATCCTAGAAAGCCAAAAATTGTGCTCACTGCTTTTTATTTTAGTATTATATCCTAAGTATGAAACAGCATCTAAGCCTGATGGTAATTATAGTGTGATCTGAGAGCACCTCTGTTAGAGATGTTGAGAGTCAAGCATCCTTGAGTATGCTTTCTAGTTCATTATCAATGCAGTTAAGCTTCAGAAGAAGTCAAGAAAGAAAGAAAGAGGGGGGAATTCTTATTTACAAAGATATATAAAAAGGAAAACAAATCAAGATCTTAAGATTGTAAAATGGATTCTGTGCTATGTGGATGTATTTAGTAACTCACCCTTCAATGTTAAAGACTTAGGCTGTGCATATTTCTCTTTCTCCCCCAACCGCAGGTGTGGAATTCTTACTTTAGCCTGGCAGTTCTGTTCATAAATCAGCCAAGCCTTCAGCTAGAAGTCCTTACTTCGGGCAAGAGGAAGAAGATTCTAGATAAGTAAGACAGATGTCTCCTATTCACCTCCCTACCAATTGCCCAGATGAGAAAATTCTCATTCTCCTGTGACAGGATCTTTCACAATTTTCTCACGTGGGTGGTTTTCTGAGGGACCAGATATGAGAGGCTTTCTATGGCCAGTTGGCGTAGCATTTTGAGAAGCATTAGGGAAAAAAAAAACAGTTGTGAAGTAAGTTTTGCAGCCTTCTCTCCCTGAATCATCTTCCACTAACAGCTGGCTCCGATATTATTATTTCTAGATATGGTGACATGCGTGTGATGATGGCTTATGAACTGTTCAGCATGTGGCAGAATTTGGGTAGGTCTTTTCTCCCTATTTTTCCCTTCCACATATTGTACAGACAAATGAAAAGTACCAATACTGTTAACTTCCCCCAGGATTTATGAATGTTAATTCAGCCCCAAGAGAGCTTTACATAATCATAATACCTCACATGGGTGGTATAGGACATGTTCATAAAGCTCTTGGCAGGGAAAGTTTAGATAAAAAATAAGATCCCATTACCACATATGCACAGTCTCTTTCTTGAGAACTAAACTAAGGGATAAAAGAAGAGGATGACTCCAGTAGTTTTTCCTAGTCTGAAGTCCATGCTGTAAGACTTTGTGCTTTTTTCATGTCCCACTCTGGATGTGGCAGGCTCAGAAGCATAGATCTTGGAGATACTCAGCACATAAGCAAGCACAGCTATTCATCTTAATAAAGTTTAAAGCACTTCATAGGTCTCTTGTTGCCTTAGTTACTCTTCTTTCCTTGCTGAGACAAATACCTGACACTCAAAATGAAGGAAGGAAAGGTTTATTTAGCTCACAGTTACTGGAGGTTTCAGTCCATATTCAGCTGGCTCCAAGGCAGAGCGGCACATGGCAGAGGGCAACCTTTCATGGTGGTAGCAAACAGCAAGAGTGCAAAAAGAGAAGTAGCAGCAGCTCAAGCAGCTAGCTTCTCTTCCCACCTTATATTATAATGCAAATTACCTGCCCTAGCAGACTAAAGTGCCTGCTTTGGCAGAGCATAGTGGCTGAGGTTTGATCCCCAGAGTGCCATGCTGACCCCATCCCCAGGGCACACTGAGATGGCAATTGAGACTGGGTGTGGTGGTGCGCCCCTGTAATCCCAGCACTTGGGAGGCTGAAAACAGGAGAATCACTATGAGTCTGATCTATGTAGTAAGGCCCTGAAGACCCTGTAGACCTTCTACTAAAAAAAAAAAAAAAAAAAAAAAAAAAATCCATGTGTGAAGTCTGCTTTAGCTAAGCTCACATCCTGAAGCTATAGGAATTATGGTCATGAGGTCTTACAGTCACCTATTAGCCATCCCCACTCCTAACCTAGAGGGAGCAAGCAAGGTATGAGACATTTTTTTTTCCCTTCTAGCAGTAGGGCCTTCAGTCCCTGAATGGGAATGTTTTTCCCCAGTATACTTTCCAGCTTTAATATCTCTTATTCCCTGCATCCAACATACTTTGCTTATGGCTTATGGTTTTTAATACTGAAATGAAATTGACCCTGACATTCTCAAAAGCACAAGAGACTGGCAGCTGTACAGGTGCCAAGCTTTGAATGTACAAAATCAAATTTGTGTAGAAGAAATATAAAAGATGCTCTGTGTATCTGGTAAAAAAATTTTTTTTCTTCTTTATTGATTTTGGTAGCAGTGATATTCTCTAGGGCTTGAAAACTAGCATTACTTGGCTAAAGCAATTACTCATAGGTCTATAGTTTGTATCTTCCTTAGTGTGAAGTACTAAGCAGAACTCTGAAAATAAATCTTTGTTCCATGCTTCAAGGAGGATAAGAGTCCTACTCTGTGGTCCTCAGGGCTAGACTTGACTTTTAGGAGCACTCCCCAGGTGGCAGCCCAGACAGAACAAAATGCACATTGCTAATGTCCCATGGGAAGGCCTCATAAAGGACACTGAGGAATGTGCTGATCTGCTGAGTAGATCTACTACCATTAGGACAGAGTTGTTAAAGTGGGAAAAAGAGAGTCTAGCCAGTCTGCCAAGGTTATGCAGCTCAGAAGGCATTCATGAAAACCGGCATTGAAAAGGCCATATATTTCAGATCTCTGGACCTGGATTAGAAACTTGATATCCTCATCACTAAAATGTGTCTGGGCTAAAGATAGAAACCCCAGGGAGAATGTATTGTGTTTAAACAAAAAATATGGGGGGCCTGCCCCTTAGCTCAGTTATTTAAGTGGCTGCTTCAACAAAGCAGTCAGCCTGAGATTGCTGTGGTTCAATCCCCAGAACTCAAGCCAGCCAAACCTGCCCTGAAGGCATTCTGAGCCAGCCAAAAAAAAAAAAGTGGGCCAGGGAGATAGCTCAGTAGAATAGGTGCTTGCCTGGCAAGCACAAGGTCCTGAGTTCAATACCCAGTACTGGGGGAAAAAAAAACAAAATAAAACACCTTGCAAACAGAAAATATGGATCCTCTTTTATTGAAACAAAATGCTATGACTAGAACATCTGAAATTAGTACAAGTTCCCAGCAATCCAATTCTGGCTAAAATAATAAACTTTATTCTAAAGATTTTAGGTAGTTTGTGGAACTTGCCAGGACATTCTTTAGAAAAGCATGTTGTTGTAGTTAAACATTGCTTTCACTGAGCTGGCACAATTTTTGTCTATAAACTCTCAAAAGCAAGAGGAGCTGGCCATGTTGCTATATCCTTATAATCCCAACATTCTAGGAGGCTGAGGCAGGTGGATCATAAATTTGAGTCCACAGGACATAAGAGAACCTGGCTATAACATCCTGTAACTCAGTGGTGTCCCAAATTTTCTGATCAAGGAGATTATGGGGCCACAGAGGAAAGTGATCAATGGTGTACAGTGCACCTAAGGAGAGTCACCTAGAGAAAAAACATTCTCTCAGGCTTTCACAGAGAGTGAAGTGGTCAATCAATGGCTGTGACTCATCCAAATGGCTGACACTGACAAAAGATCTACAAACTACGGTACAGGGTTTCAGGATAAATCCTGAGGAGATTTGACTGACCTTGTCAGATACAAAGGTACATTTCTTGTTACATAGGTCTTGCTTTATCTTAGTCTTAACCATCCAGCAGAAAAGTATAAAAACGAGGTATAAAGAGTAAAGCCATATTAATATGCTGAGTTGTAAAAGACTCAAGTCAACTTCTGGCATTGCCAGTCCTACATATAACCCACTACTACTATGAACTAATGGACTATATTGGATTATTTTGCTGAATTCATGCAATTATAATATTTAAATGGCAATGGAATACCCATCTCTGACAAAACCAAACAAAAAAAGGGGATATAAATGAAGGACCATTTTGTATGTGTATATACAAAATACTTAGGATAGATATACAGCTTTCTCTTAATTCAATGAGAAGAAAGATTTGTACTAATAGTATTTAGACAGGATATCATGTCTGCATCTGTGCTATGAATAACTACTATGAAGACAATATACAATATATTAATTATTGTAACTATCCTTCTAACCTGTTTTGAAACTGTCTCATTGCTAATTTGTTTCTCAATAAAATTAATTTAAAATTAAAATTAGATAAATAAATTTGAGTCCAACCTGTGCAATTTAGCAATTTAACAAGACCCTGTCTCAAAATATAAAAAAAGTCTGTGAAGGAGTTTGTATACCACCAAAAAGCTGAGAGAGGATATCTCAGAAAACTGTAAGAAAGAACTTTACTCTCAGAAGCTTCCAGTATAAGTCTGTGATCCTACTTTTGAATCTTCTATAAAAGGAAAAAATTCAGGATTATTAATATCTTTTGGGCTTTATTGTTTAGGTGAACATAAGATCCACTTTATCCCGGGAATGATTGGTCCCTTTCTGGGTGTGACACTGGTCCCACAGCCAGAAGTGAGGAATATCATGATTCCCATCTTTCATGACATGATGGACTGGGAACAGAGGAAAAATGGCAACTTCAAACAGGTAAGATGACACCTGGCTATGTTCAGGGTGCTCTTATCTGGAATGGATCCCTTCTCAGTCAGGTGGACCCAGTGGCTAAACCTGCTTCCATTGGGAATGAGCTGTAGCATGGCCAACTTGAATTTTATTCAAGGGTTTTTCCATCAATGTATGGATTTTGTTCATTGTATAAGCCATAATAGAATTGGAAGAAAAGATGAATTCATGTAAAAGGAGCTTTCTGATGAAGGAAAGAATGACTGAGAATATCTGTCTCAGTTTTCCTTGGGAGAGTGCCCTGGGAATGTGTTGTCCTTCTTTAAGAGACCTACAGTATGGCCCAAGCATTTATAAGTTTGGACCCCAGACCAGATGACATCTCATGGTTCGGGGTAGTCCAGGATTTTGTAGACTACAGGTCCAGGAGATGATACTGACTGAGTGGCTTAAAGCTGTCCCTTTTTCTGCAGCGATCTGCCACCACTAAGGTGAAAAGGATAAACTAATATTTGTACCTCAAGGAATTGTATAGGACCAGTAGGGACCAGTGTTAGGGAAGCCAACTTTAACTGAAGAAATACTTTAGGCATAGAAGCACACATCTATAATTCCAACACTCTAGGAGGCTGAAGCAAGAGGATTGTAAACTTGAAGCCAGACTGGGCAACTTTCACAAGACAATGTCTTAAAATAAAAAGGGCTGGGGATGTAGCTCAATGAAAAAGTCCTAGGTTCAATTTCCAGTACCACATATACACAGAAGAAATAGGGAAAACAAAGGGAACCAATTAGGTAGCATCACAAAATATTCATTCTCAGAGAGTGCCATTCCATTGCTAGTGATCCTCAAGCAGAAACACCCAATAGGCCTATAAGAAAAATTTCTATTTGTTTCTCAGTAAAATTAATTTTTTAAAAATCTGCTAACAAAGAAAAAAAAGAGAAAAATTTCTGCTTTGACTTAGGAATTATACCAGTTTCCCTATTAAGTGCTTTTCCAACCTATGAATCTGGCATGAACCAGCAGTCTTGGAGTAAGTTTTACTTTTAACAGAAAAGAACAGACCAGTCAAATAGTAATTTTAAAGCATGTATTTTTTAAATTTACATAGAGTGTAATTCTTTCAGCTTATGGTTTTACAAGTTTTGACAAATGCATAGAATTGTATATCTACCACCATAATCAAGATTCTTATAACTTCTAAAAATTCTGTATGTTATCCTTTGTAGTAACTTTCTCTGTCCTTAACCAGAACAGCCATTGGCCTGTTGTCCATCAATATAATTTGCTTGTTCCAAAAACTGTCATATGGAAAGAGTCAAGCAGAGAACAGTCTGTTGGGAATAGATTCTTTTAGCATAAGGGAGATTTATCCATGCTATGTGGTGTATCGTAGCTATTCTTGCACTAAGGAGCATTTAGTTTATTCATTCATTCACTAAAAGACATTCATATTACTCCCACTTTTGACCTTAGGAATAAAGTACTGAAAACATTTTTTGGTTTTTTTATGAATATAAACTTTCATTTTTCTTGGGTAAATACCTAATCATAGAATTGTGACATCTTAATATATTTAGTGTCATAAGAAGTTATCAGTATAGGATGACTGGGGCCAACAGTATAAACTTATACTTGTTAAAGTGGTTTGGTTTAAGCAGAAAGTTTTGAGCAATTTCTAATTTTTGTTCAGCACTAAACTTTTTTTCGTATGTCTGGCAGAAAATATCCTTATGTTTGTAGATCATAGAGGAAAAAATATAGGTCACATGTCCTTTCCAAAGTTGTAACTTTCATGTTCAGTAACTTGATTATAAAAAATTTATAAAAATGTATCCTCATTAGGGAACCTAATCACTTACAGCTTCTGCAAGGTATGAGTGACTCTGAGAATTACAGAGGACTGCAGTATGATTTGATCCAGCTAATCTAGTTGTCAAGTGTTCAGTCACATTCCACGATAGTCTTTGTGTGCTGCTATTTTCTGTTCAGTCTTGTTGGCAGAAAAGGGTGTTTACTGTTTGCATGCATGCATATATATTTTTCTAAGTAATATAAATAAAATGGTTATTAGTAGAATTTTAGTTCTACTTTCAAGTTTATTCAATTGCTAGACCTCACAGAAATTAGTATACTTAAGAATCTATTATGAAGTTCTTCAACAATTTTTAAAAGTGAGAGATTCCTTTTTTATATATAAAATCAAACAGCATGACTTGGAATGTCAGTCTTCTACTTAAAATGTGTCTATGTTCATGATACTTTCATTCATGCAGACACAATAGTGTAACATCCAGTTATTAAGTTGGTTTACTTTAAATAGACTACCAGATAATACCTAAATGTAGTTTTCTCAACTTTAGAAAACTATTTTCAAGGGCCAGGGAGAGAGCTCTGCATCATATACGCCTGACTGGCATGCATAAGACTCCAAGTTCAGTTCCCGGTACTGCAAAAACAAAACAAACAAACAAAAACCTAGCTGAAAACTATCTTGAAGGTTTATGAATTGTATCCAATTGATTCTTTGTCTGGTATCTAAATAGCTGAAGAGGCCAGGGAGATGGCTCAGTGGAATAATCGCTTCCCTGGCAAGCACAAGGGCCTGAGTTCAATCCCCAGTTCCACCAAATAAATAAATAAATGAATAAATAAATAAATAAATAAATATCTGTTCTTACATTCTGCTTTATCCTTTGGGATTACCTTTAAGGTTTGATCACACCAGCAAAGTGAAACAGATTTTAATGTAAATAAAGAACTTACATTAACATTGCTTATCTCTATAACAGTATTTTAGAAACATTTATTCCTTTCATGTCCACTAGTATCAACACAGTGTTCATGGTAAGATCCAGTCTGTCATGGGTAAAAATTATTACAAATATTATGTTTGTTTTCAGTAAACAAAATTTTTGCTTATTTTTGGTCTTAAAAAATAATCAAACTCAAAAAAAAGAAAAGGCTGGTCAAATAGCTCAGCGGATTAAAGCACCTGCAAGCAGGTGCCAGGGCCAGGGGTTTGATCCCCAGGACTACCATACAGGCCCTGCCCCCAGGGCATTCTGAGATGGCAGTTGAGGCTGGGCATTGTGGCATACACCTGTAGTCCCAGCTCTTGGGAGGCTGTAAACAGGTAAATCACTAGGAGTCTGATCTAGTACTGAGACCCTGAACACCCTGTACACCCTTCCCTAAAATACAAAAAAAAAAAAGAAAGTTATAAAACTCTTTTCAAAAATGAGGGTAATATTTTAACTCCCAACAACAATATGAGGATTCCAGTTATTCCTTCTACTCACCAGTACTTAGTTTTGCTTGTTTGTGCCATTCTAGTACCTATGTAATTGTATATCACTATGGTTTTGGTTGTCATTTCATTGATTATTAGTGAGAATCTGTTTATAGGCATCCTAATATTTCTTATTGAAATTATTATTCAAATTTGTTCATTTTCAGTTAAGTAGTTTCCTAATATTATTGAATTTTAAGACTTCTTTACATATACATAAGTCCTTTGCTAAAAATTATGATTTATAAATGTTTTCACAAAGCCTCTAGCTTATCTTTTTTATTTAATAAACAATGACTTTTGCAGAACAAAGTTTTTAATTTTAGTGAAGTCCAATATCAATGTTTTTCTTTTATGGGTCATACTTTTGGTATGATACCTGATAACTATTTGCCTAACTAAAGGCCCCAAAACATTTTCCATGTTTATTTCTAGAAGTTTTATAATTTTTTTTCAGTGCCAGGATGATCCAGATTCTCATGCCTGCAAGACATGTACTCTAGCTCAAAATTATATTCCCAACCCAAGACATTTTATAATTTTGCATTTTAAATTTAAATATCTATTTTGAGTTCATTTTTGCATAGAGTATGAAGTGTGAGTGAAAGCTCTTTTGGGGAGGAAAGACATATGCATGTCCAATTATTGTAGCAGCTTTTGCTGAAAAAAATCTATCCTTTCTTCTTAAATTATCTTTGTATCTTTACCAAGAATCAGTTAACTATTGAAGCATGCAAAACTTCAGTCAGTATGAATAAATTTTAATAATTTTGTATACAACATGATGATGATGGTTAATAATGTGTTGTATAATTCAAAATTGCTAAAAGTAGATTTTCGGTGTTTTCACAAAAAAATGTTAAGTAAGTGAGGTACTTTGTATTTTGATTAATTTGATTTAATCATCATGGGGTATATTACTGTCATGCCTCTCAAATCTGTACAACTATTTGTCATTTAAAATGTTTTAGATCAGCTGATCATATGTGTGTGAATCTCTGTATATATTAATCTTTCTATTGATCCATATGTTTATTCTTTTATTAATAATACATTGATCCATATGTTTATTCTTTTATTAATAATACATTGACATTGATTACTATAACTTTATAAATAGTATTTAAAAGTAAGTGGTGTGAGTCCTCCAAATTTAGTCATTGTCTTCTGCATTAGCAATCTCAGTTGTTCTCCTTTTCAAATTTTTAGAATCTGTATGTGAGTTTTCATAAAAATTCCTACTGGGATGTTGATTGAGATACATTGAATGTGTAGATAAAATTGGGAAGAATCAGTATCTTAACACCAAGTATTCATTGATATCTTTCCGTGTTAACATACAGACCTTATATTTATGCTATTAAATTAATGTAGAAGTATTATTTTCTGGATTTGGGTGTTAGTTTCATGATTTTTTTATATACAGCACTGAGGTGTGAATCCAAGGTGCACTGAGCTATATCCCCAATCCTTTTATTTTGAGATAAGGTCTAAAGTTGCCTAGGTTGGCCCTGAATGCAAGAACTCCTGCCTCAGCCGTCCAAGTAGCTAGGCTTGTAGGCATGTGCCACCATGCCCTGCATGATTTGAAATTTTTAATTTTATTTTCCAGTTGTTTGCCAGTATTGTATATAGAAATATAATTGAATTTTATGTATTAATTTATATCCTGTACCTTGGTAAATTCACTTACAAGCTTTTGTAATATTCCCTGGGATCATGTTGTCA